GTGCCTGCATAATTTCACATCAGGCTCTCTGGTGTGACACAGCTCCACGTTTCAGTCTGCAGCAAGACAGAGGGCTGTAATTGCTTTGCTTTTCTCTACAAATGTCTCAGTGTGCGTTTCTGCCTGCCTAAAATGTTGCCAGCGTGTAAAGGATTTTCAATGAGCACCAGGGTGAACCAGCTTAGAGGGCTCTGGGAGCTGCATTGATTTGAAACTGTACAGACATACAGATGATCGGTGCTCAAGCCAAGGCTCTGTAGTCTTATAGATCACATCGATTACCCTTAGGAACTTCAGCTCATCTAACTCAGTCGTTGGCTAGCGGCTGCTAACTAGCCATACTCTTCTACAGAAATGTGGAGTGGATTATCACGTCGAGGTAAGCATGATGTTCTCTTGCACGTTCCTCTATCATGTGTCCTGGGTGCTGAATACTAGGCACAGGTCTATAGTGTGTGTTCAACTATGCCAAGTTATAGTCATAGAATCCTGGACTATCCTGAGTGTATCATGGAGCATCCTGCCTAGGCTCATTCATACATGTCACAGTTATAATATATGGCTGTTGTATTATAGTGCATTGTAGATGTATCTGTATAATTAATAGATAAGTTATGTCCTATTATTTGTATGATCATTTAAGGTGCTCTGGTTTCTTTCAACAGTGCATGACCATGGTAAGGGGTTTAGATTGCAAGCTCCTCTAGGGCAAGTGCAAATGTAAATTGTTGTGTTCACTCTGTAAATGTAAAATTATGTTTTCTACATACAGAAAAAAATTAAGGATAGTGTTTTTTTTCAGTTGCATGGTTTAAAAGGGATATACAAGCATGCAAAGCGATTCATCAGATATGCATAAGTAGCTCTCCTGTCCATAAGGGAGCAGGATCCGCTCAGCTGGAGACACACTTCAGCTGAGTACAGGAAAATGATACTCAAGTAACAGTTGTCACTGGAATGCATTTATTTTTTTGTAGAATGTGTTCTAGTCTGGAATATATGCTGGTTTTACATCAGGCTAAAATGGCACTTATTAAAGTTACACTAAACTTAGGAGTTAAATCCTAAAAATGCATTCAGCTTCCTTAAATATTAACAAAGAAATGTATCTTATTTGTGGATCATTCAGCTGTAGATCCTCAAACCATCTCTGAATTTGGACTGACACTGTCCTTTCTTCTGTAAGGTGGCTACTTTTGTTCCTCATGGTATAATTTCAATAGAAATGAGTAAACTAAACATGAGATTGTAGTCCATCACGGGAGCAAGCTTGGAGTGGTGGATACTTTACAACACACACATAAGGACCATGGGGAACAAAAGTAGCCACCCTCCAGAAGGTAGGACAGTGTCAGCATTAATTCAGAGAAGATTTGAGGATCTACAGTCGAGTGATACACAAATAAGATACCTATATACAAAACATTTTTGTATATAGGTAAAGTGCATGTTTTTTAAGATTTACCTCCTGAGCGTTGTGTCACTTTAAGAACTACAGTTTCCAAAGACTAAAAAATGTATATCAACAAATGTATGTTTTTGCCCTTTATTTAGTTTTAACCTTTTAAAAGCATTATCTTGATTTCACATTGTAATCATAGTATCTGATTGTATACTGATATGATTATGCAATAGATATGCTAAAAAAAACAAAACAAGTTTTATGTAAAAAAAAAATGCCTTACCCAAAAGCAAACAATTGGAAAATACCTCTTGGCTGTAACTCCATTGAGCTAAAATGAGATTGGTTGCTGCATTTTACTCATCAACACACTTCATATGATTTTTCTGTTGATTTAAATGCTTGTCATAATCAGTTAGTTTATTTGTTAACAAGCGTCCTGAAGTCACAAGAGTTTTTAGCGTTGATCATCCTGCAGTAACCCTCCATCATGCTGGAAATTTTCTGTTGTCTTAGCATAAGCGATGGGAATTAAAGCAGAACTCTAAGCAAACAGCAAAATACATATAAAATGGGTAAATGACCATTGACAGCAAAATATATTAAGTATGTGAAACACATACTACCTGCCAAAAGACCTGTAATTCTTTTCATCCAGTCCTGTGATCCAAATACTATGACAACAGCATAGCCAAGCCCTGACCTCACTTCTCCCCACTGTAGTTAAGGAATACAGCTAGGTCACTGACCCTCCCCAGGCTGCTGATCAGTTAATAAAGGAGTATGACCACACTGATAAGAATATGACTGTGCTTTCACTGCTTTCTCCAGCTGTTAGCAGACTCTCAACATTAGACTGCCAGCACTGTTCGGTAATGTAGGACATAATTGGCTATTTATGCTGCCCCTCCCTCCTGCCATGCAGATCTTTACAGGAAGCTATTATAAAGAAAGATTCAGCATTTAAACTAGCTGTATTTAAGAATACACTTATTTTTGGGATTAAGTAACTGGATTTAATGCTGTATTTTGTAGCTGCCTGGTGTTCAGCTCCAAGAAATTAGATCATTTGCATCAAGAGTAGAACTCATGGTACAGTTGCTTGCCAATGGATTATTTATTTGGAATCCATTAGAGATCTTTATATGTATGACCATCTTTAGTAGTAGGCTTATTTTTCATTTCTTTGTTACAGCTAGTGCTTGTTTCTTAGACTGCTAGATACAATTCCTTGACAAACTTTTGCCTTATGCTGTTACCAGTTTTATTTTCGCTAATTGCACTAATGAGGCAGGTGTTTAATGGCAGCCGTCAGCTAAGCACCAGATACAGTGCTGATTTGAATAACACAGAAGATTCTAGACTTTCCATGTGTTGCCTGTATATGCCCAGCTTGGCTTTTATTCCGACTGCATCAGAAGCAAACCAATTGTGTTAGCCAATCTGTCAGGTCCCAGAGCCACTATCTCGTTCTCAGCCACTGTGTGCTTTTGAAAGCATGAAATTAGTTTTATACTCAGCACATGGTTTCTCGTTTAACTTTTCTTTTTTATGGTAATGGTCAGTTTATGGTTCAGCGAGAGGATTAGATGCTGCTGTAGCTGATAGCTTATTGCAAAGGTGTATCGAAGGGATTAAGAAATAGTAATTATACTTCAGGCAGCTCACGGTTGGTCCCATTAGAAACATGAACTTTGTTTTCTGACCCATTACAAACTCTTGGCTGGTACTAATCAATGAAAAATGCTCACGGGCGTAGCTTAGAAATGATCGCATTGGCAGTCCTGGCAAAGAGCATTTAACTGTGGGTTCCGAAAGTTGATGTAAACCCTGAGAATGAACTCAGATTTGCTCATTTTTAGTCTGATAAATTTATCATTGAAACTCTTTTTATAAGTTAAAAAAGAACCTGTTGATTCTGCTAAAAATCCAGTGCACTGAAAATGTCCTGTGCTCTCTGCCGGTGCTGCATTGTTATCAGTTAACATTGTTTTTCCAGTCCCCCCCCCCCCTGCGGGATTACAAAACATCCCCCATGTCATGGAAATAAGAAGGTGGGTGTTCTGTAGTCCTAACACACTTCCAATGTTAGGGTGACAATGTCGCTTATCGATAAACAGGGAATGAGCGTTGTCACAGGAAGTACTGGTGGGATCACCTAGTAAAAATGAAGGAATACAAGCATGAATAAAGGAAAGTAATACAGCCACTACATCTAAGGACTGGTAAACTACAATATGTTATATTGTTTGGGGGGTTTAGATAAAGTTTAATAAGTAAAATCTACAAAGGTTGGTCATAGATGGGCAGATTTCACTGAGAAGGACATGTAATGAGTTATCTGCACGTCCATCGACATTAAATAGCTGCATCTCTGGTGTCCAGTGTGAACCACCATTGGATTGTAACTTCCGTTGTGCTATTGTATAAAACATCTTACAGTGACAACATAAAATAAATCATAAGAACATTTCTGTAAAATGTATCCATTTTATAAGCTGCATTCCCACAATATATTAAACGTGCTTATAGGATGTTTTATGAAACAGCAATGAGTACATTTGGATTTTTCACTAGGTCTAAGATGATTGTAACATGTATATTGTGGTTGTAGTTGACTATTTAATATTCTTTGTGGCCATTGGCCCTGTGGCCATTGGGATTGTATAGTGGGAATCCCGTAAGTATGGGGTAAAGTTGCAGTCTTTTAGATGAAGACACCATTGTATTGCAATTTCTTTTGTGCAATTGTATAAAACATCTTATAGTGAAAAGACAAATAGATCATAAGAGAATGGCTATAACAGATGTGGCTATTTTAAAATATGTATTCCCAATGTTATTTATATACATACATACATACATACATACATACATACAAACAAACACATATGTGTGTAAATATATATATATATATATATATATATGTATATATATATATACCGTATTTTG